GCCGCCCCCCTGCCGCCACCAAAGCCCTTTGTCGGCAGCCCCAGTAAACCTCATCCCACGAGGAATAACTGGGCTGCCGACAAAGGGCTTTGATGTCGGCAGGGGAGTGTCCAGACTAGCGCGCTGAGCAGATAAACAGCTGATCAGCTGTTTGTCGGCTCAGCGTGGCAGCTATGTAAATGTAAATGTAAATGAAGCTGCGATCATTTAAATCGTGGCTTCATTTGCCTTTGCCTATGTGTCTAATCTACATGCCTCTGACGACAGAGGCATGTAGTCTAGACACAGCCTTACTGTCCCCAACCCTTATACACTCTCACTGGGTTGAGACAGGAGGTGAGGGCTCTGGGGTGGGAATAAGGGATTTGGGTGTGGGAAGGGGTGAGAGGTGCAAGCTCTGGGAGGGAATTTGGATGCAGGAGGAGGTGGAGAAGGGGATGCTGGCTCAGGGAAGGGGCTCTAGGTTGGGAAGGGTTAGGGTCAGGTGGAGGGTTGGGGAGTTGAGCAAGCCACAGGCTTGTGGATATGAGGGTGCAGGAGTTTGGGTTGGGGTGTGTGTGGGACTTAGGGCAGGGAGGTTGAGAGTATGATGGGCTCAGGACACAGATTTATAGTAGGTGGATGGTGCAGAAGTGCTGTGGCACAAGACTGAGGATGTGGGGGTGCAGGAGTTTGGGCATGTGAGAGGCTCAGGACAGGGGGATTCCAGTGTATGATAGGCTCAGGTTTGGAGTCTGGGGGGGCAGGTGCAGGAGTGTTATGATGCTGCGGCCAGATGGGGGCTTGGCCCCAATTAGGGGCTTGTTGGCCAGGTTTCATTTTTTATTAAAATATGTCAAACAAAATGTTTCAGCATTGTCTTTATTTATGAGAGGGGTGGGGAACCTGTTTTGAGTCAGGGATCACTGACCTACCGAAAAGTCAGTCAGGGCCACACAAGTGGGATGCAAAAAAATAACCCCGCCAAAACCCCCCAAGCCTCACTAATGTGGCCCCAACTGAGACAACTCGCTTGTCACTCCAGCCCCAGGCCAGATTAACTCTCTGGTTCCAGGGTTAGTGGCATTTGTGGGCCCCTCTACAATCTGAGGTGGGGCCAAAAATAATGGATCCAGTGTGCGAGACAGGGCTGCCAGTGAGTGGGATAGGGAGAGGGTACAGAATCTGGGTGGAAAATAGGGTACAGGAGCAAGCTGGGGATAGGTGTCTGGCCAGGAGAAAGGAGTCAGGAGCAGAGTGCTGGTGGGTGTCTAGCCAAGGGAAGGGGGTAGGGTGCTGATGGGGGTCTTGCCAGGGAGCAGTGGCAGGGGGGTGGGGGGCGAGACAGGGCTGCCAGTGAGTGGGATAGGGAGAGGGTACAGAATCTGGGTGGAAAATAGGGTACAGGAGC